GGATGGCCTGGGTCATTCTTGCGATTTTGTTGCAGCAGGCGCTGACTGTCACATTTTAGACGAAGTCGATGTATTTCATTCGGCAGTTCAACTGTCGTTTCCGATGATGTCCACTGCGTGCTACACAGCAAGGTGCAGCAGACACGATGACTTGCACGTGGATTATAGTGATAGTAGACTTTCGCTGCATCTACCGCACTCTCTCTTCCCCATTCCCCATCTAGACCCCGTGTCAAGACAGAATCAAGCAGACCGGAAGCGGGGGGGGGGTGCAGGTGGATGGCACGGTCGAGCCTGCACCCTGGCGTTCCACTCCACAACCCTTATTCCACACAGCAAATGACCAGGTTTTTGACCAACATCAGCGGCAACTACCACAACAACACCCTAATAGGGGTCAGAGGGACAAGGATGATGACTGGGCAGCCATGCCTACCGCCTGTATACCCGGCGGGAGCGCAGGCGCATCTGCTGGAAGGGAACAAGGTGTCAGGGAACTGCTAGCGCACACCAGGCTGCGAGGGCCATGGTTTGTTGGTACTGGCATAGCACACGCTTTCAGACTTTTTGGCCTAGAAGGGCGACACGTGGTCCTGCATTTAGCCTGGGCTGTCGACCTTCATGATTAGGTAACAAAACAGTCGTCGACTGAGAGGCACTGCCCATAATGATGGTCTTCAAGCAGTGGTAATCAAGTACCTCCAGTTTTTTCCCGTCCTCCACGCACACAGCCCAGCATCCACAATCACAGAGAAGAACAGACCGGACAGATGCACGTTACACGCGAATTTTAGTGGCGATGGAGATGTCGCGTCGGATCCATGAGCATTTTCTAGCGCTTGAGAAAATCCGGCGGGCAGTATCAATTCGGGAGACCATGTCGTCATTATTCTTTCGATTCGGCAGCAGCCTCGTCCCGACGTATTCCGAACTGTACTTCAAATTGGCGACCATCAATCCCGAGAGGTGCATTCTCCCGATCAGGGATACAGTTTGAAAACACTGGTTTTCCCAGCTTTTATGGATAACTCGACCGATTTAGCGACCTCGTTCATCCGTGACACCGTAAATCGCAGATCACCAAAACTTGAAGCTGGTAAGGCGATATTATCGGCATAGCCGAGATCAATCAGCCGGTGTTCGGGAGCAAACTTGACAGCGTAATCTTCGTGTAGGGCCCTCCCGAAAATGAAATCAATAACGCAGTTGGATGGAATGGGCGACCGCATACAACCCTGTAGAACGCCAAACCGAATACTGAAAGGCTGGGGAGGATTGTTGTGGACCAGAACTCGCGCAGTGGTGGAGTGCGCTGGTAGCATTTGTCACTGCTGGTCCACGACTGATTATTTGCCAGACTCGAGAGCCTGCTCATTTCGTAATTAACCTTCACAAGAGGGCGTTTCACTGTTCCCCACCTATGGAAGCCCGGGGTCCCCATCAGCTAGGCTACCGGGTAACCCGTCTTCCCGTTGGCTCGGTTTTGCCAATTGCTGTTTTCAACTCCCCGTTGACTTTTAGCTGACATTATCAAAATATATCTAATCGATGGATCGTTTGGGTGTTACCTGTTAGCAACTCTGATTGCCGCCTTTGATCAACCGCAGATCAGTGTGGTGTAAAACAGCCCCATAAAACAGACCATTGCCACGTTTTGCTGCAAAGATGGTTGCTTCACTGCGTTACTTAGTAGTCATTGTTCGTTCAATAAATTACGGCTTTTTCTCTAAAAGTCCTCGTTGTTTGCTCTATCTCTGTATCTGTTTTTCTCATGTGTCACTTATCTCCTTTTCTGTTTTTATTGGCACCCGATAGATAAACAGGGCGCAAAAGTCAGGTTTTATGCATTGGGGAAAGATGGAAAGCTTTGAACGGTGTTCGGTCTCTAGAACCATGGAAATCTGCGTTGAAATGGAAACACTACCTTTGCTCTCTTAAGTTTTCGACGATTAGGATTTTAGTAAGACCCAGTTTCTGCCGGCGAATCTCTTTATTTGCCTGGGAAATGTGTGTTTTCGACGACCCTCTAATATGAAACGCGGTCGCCAACATCGCAAACCGATCTGTACTCACATCTCGTTTATATGGCCCGCTAAAGGTGCATTTCCTGTCTGTCAACTATTAGGTATTCGGAAGTTGCCCTCTCATAAGACGACGTAGTTGAAAGCGAAGCCCAAACCATCCCCTCCAGCCTGTGTCACGGTCATTGAGACAGTCAAATGCCTGATGGCACAAAGGCAAAGCATAAAGCGATGAGTCTCGCCGATCGCCTCTCAAATATTCGAATGCACGATCGGTGGCCAGTACGAATGGCCAGCAGCACCCTCTTTCACCCCTGACTTAAACCGCAGGGTCTTTTAAGGCAGCATTACCCCTTTAGCTTAAACGCAACTAATGACATTTAATTCAGCGGATGATGTTATAGATTGAGGTGATAACAAAGGGGCTCATTCCCTATGAACCTTAACCTGATGATGGCATTTAAGTGGTCAGCTTGTACTCGGGTAGACTGCAATAAGACAGCTATTGCCTTCTGCGCATTCATGAGGAGAATCGACCGTAGATCCTTAAGCCCCGATAACTTTCAAAGCGACTGTCATTAACGTGTGCGTTATGCAGTTATCTGACATTTTCATCCGTCGTGCTTGTGCATGTCCTAGAGGTACCGAGGAACACCTCACCTACCTGAGTCCAATGTATATCAGAAACAACAGTTTGTCTACATTGGAGTCAAAACAGTATTTATTTTCTCGATTTTCTGAGGAACCCGCGCGCCAACTGCAGCTGACTGAATCAAATTATATGTAACCAAGAAGTTCGCTTGATGGCGTTAAAACCGAGTTGAGGGCATTTCCGCGCTTGTTTCAATAAATGTTATTCAAGCAAGTTTGATTAAACACAGCCGCCATCTATCTGATTTTGGTGGCAGAGGGGTTAACTCAAAACCCGGCTCAACACATTCCCGCGGGACATTAAAATGTTTTTCCCTGAAGCAGGGAGTGAATCACTCTCCAGGCTCGCTGCGACTGCTGATCGCCACTCGTGGAGAGGCGTGATCTGCATCACCGAGAGCGTTCAGATCAGGCATGCTCATAGTCGTGTACAGACTGGCGGATGTTGAAACAACTATGGCGATCAATGCAGAAAATGAGCCAAATTGGGGGGCAATTTGCCCGAGGGTGCTGTACCAAATGAGTCGGTCAATTCCTCAAGGATGCAAGTAGTAGCTATTGTTACACGTTCTAGTTCTGTGCTCCAAGCGCATGCACAAGGTACCTTCTTAAGTCACCTTATGGGCATTTCTCCCTTCGATTAATTCTGCGAAGTTGCTTTGGTCGAAAGAACTCGCGCCCAGTCAAGAGACGTAGGACGAACCTCGGGACGAGAGAGACTAAACCCACTTGTGACTGCGAGAGATACGATAAGACTGTAGCGCAACCCTGTCCTTTGCACAAAGAAGGACTGCTTACGATATCTGTCATTGCCATCGCCCAAGTCTAAACAACCTACTGTCTGTACACAACTCGGGCCGCGATAACCACCGAAACCTTCCTCGCCATATAACCATTTCCTCTGTCCTATCGATTTTTCGTAGAACTCCGAAGCTTCGGCAAGTTATAACCTCAGTCAATTTTTCGCGCAGCAGCAAACTTGCTGCTCGTTTGTTACAGACGTTTGGACCACCGTTTCCAATATACTTAGGGCCAGTTAATGCATTTCCGCGTGGCCATGTTGTTTATGTTGTTTTGAAAGGCCTTTCATTATCCACCCAAACATTGCTTTTAACTGTGTTCCTCAATTTTAGCCCTAAGGCTGTCAAGGATAGGCATATAAGTAAATAATAGTCGAAAGCTAGATGGAGTCGCACAATGACAGCAAATACGCCTTGTAAGACTAAGGGGACAGTACGGTGGAAGGGCGGGCATGCGATATGTGCACGGAACGCAAATCTCTGAGTGGATGATGATGGATACGAGAAGTTTGGAAGGTTTGGACTCCATATTGGAAGATTAGCCGCACGCAACGGCGTCCAACTTTAATGGTTGTTGGTCCTTGCCAACGCATTATCAATCATTGTCCCCACCTGCCTGCCACTGGTTTTAACAACAGTCCTGGACGATAGTCTTGGAGTCCGACGCTCGCCGAAGCATAATACCCGGCAGTTTGTATATTTTTGTTGGGTTTTATGTAATAAATGTTTCCTTGAACAGTGGAAACCTTTTCATTCGACGCGCTACATAATTGTTATAACCTGATTATAAGAGGTTTATCAATTTGCCCTCTGGGGCTGTAACTACACGAATATGTTCGATTGCCTCAATTTGCGAACCTATGTGTTGTTGTTGGGCTTGCTTGCATCTTGCAATATCTTGATCTTGAAGTCGAGGTCCACCTCTATGAACTCCCTCCCTTTCTCTTCCTCTTTTCTTCTTTCTCTTCCTTCTCTTCCATCTCCCGCCATCGTCGTCCGGTCAACTGCAAGCCTAAATTGGGAATCCTTAAACTCAGACTGCCGTGCACCTGTTGCCAACCGGCTAGGAATATATCAAAACAAGTAGGAAATTGTAGGAAGGAGAAAGGTCAGATAGCAAATAAAAATCTTGTTGAATACTGACGTCTTTTGCGAAAGAACGCCGTGCGCGACAGCGTCCCGAGCTGACATTTCGGAGAGTGTATTCTTCCATCACGTCCGGATGTTCAGACTATGTGGCTTACGTGTCCTAGAGGTAGAATGAGCTCCCCGGTAATGGTAATTTCCATAATGTGACTACGACGCCTTTTTATAGTGTCCGGTCTAAGCTGGCGAATTCTCCCACTCTTACATTTTTTGCGACTTTAGTTTCACTCCCAGCCCCATGGATGACCTTGGACTTCTGAAACCCATCTGCCTTTTTGAGAAGCTCTTCAACCATAAACTTCGCCTGCATGACTCAGCTGCGGACGAGTTTGCAGGGCTTACGGTAACCAAGGACGTTATAAGCACTGCTGCCGGTTCAGCAATGGTCACGGTCGGTGCCACTCGTGTACTTTGTGGTATCAAGGTATGCCTGTGTTTCCCTTCCCCCTCTCCCTTCGATTTCCGTCTCATTCATACTTCATACAGTTTTATGACATCCTGGAATTACCTTCTGCCTGCGTTGAATATGTTTGCCTTTTCCACCCTTTGCCATCTTGAAAATTCCAAGCACTTACCTTCATGCAAGTCATTTTTTTCGATTGAAGGTCAAGGTAATGCCTACGCTAGAAGTGGAGAGCCCCTTCATATGTTCAGTTGAACAGACTAACCTCTCCCAGCGCACTCTGCGAGCTAACGTTCCGGTCGGCAGAGATATTCAAACTCTGTCCATCCAATTAGACTGGATCCTGCGTACTTGTGCCATACCCGACGCCAAGGAGCAACTCCTAATATATTTTGCCGCTACTGATGGTGATCCCGGCCTCAAAGAATTGGTTTGCGGCATGTATCTTCTGCATGTTGACGTGCTCATACTTCATGACGATGGCTGTCTTCTTGACGCCTGCCTCGCAGCCGCTCTTGCTGCCCTTTCTTGCGCCAAATGGCCTAGAGTGGAAGGGGAAACCGGGGCCAATGTCGGTTTTGTCGCCCAGACGGTGACCACCTCCAAAATAAACTTCCGAGAAGTGAATGCGCCAGAATCACTGGTTCGATTGCATATTTCTGATTGGCCAGTAGCTCTGACCTTCTGTTTGGTTCCCCGACCTCCCCTCCCTAATGAAGAAGTAAAGGGGAGGCAAAAACTACCTCTCATCTCACAGCCTTCGCGCCAGGAACTACTGCTTTGGGACACAGATGCCACCATTTTCCACATTGTTTTGAACTCTGATGGCGTCATTGTCGATTTCGCCATGGTAGGTGGCCTTTCCTCGTGCCTTTGGGCGCATTTGGAAGAAGCAGGAATCTGTCACAATCGAGCCGTCTTGCCTGACCTCCTGGCTCGTGCAACGAAGGAGTGCGACGCAATTAGGAAACAACTTATGTGAATCTGGGGCTGTGATTCCCCATGCACATATCTGTAAATATATTTTCTAAAGAAGACGAAGTCCTTTTCTGAGTTTGCCTTTATATGCTCGGTCTACATTACTGGCAGGGTAAAGAACACAACCTCCGTTTGACGTCAAGGTAATCGGGTCTCCGCCGGTGCTTTTTCAGCGCACGCTTGACTAAATTGACAGAAAGAAGTTTAATCTACTAGCTTCAGTGGCTTCAGCACGTTTCTTCTCCTAGTTTGCCTCAATTCACTCATCTGGGCGAGGTGTTAGTTCCCTGCGTTTACCGACCGGGCTGATTAGCTCTGCCCGCATTTATTTCTATCATTGGCCAGATGAGCTTAGAGTTGGCATTTCTAGCTTACATTAAAGCGCATACTAGCCACCACCAAACTGCGGCCCAGCAAGATCTGAGGTTTGAACCCGGGTCTGGTTGGCTATTGGACCGGGTTTTCTACCGATTCAGTGACGGTCACACAATGCTGGCTTTGACCGGAAGTATTGATATTAGTGTAAGTCACGTTCGCTAATCTGACCTGTGAGGGCACTCGTTTTTGGTTCAAATCCCCCTCATACAGTGGCGTAGCGATGGGCGTCCGCGGTCGCAGCTGAAGTGGAGTGGGCCTTTGGCTGTATTGATAGGTCGCCGTGCCTGATAGACAACTTATCCCAGTCTCGGATCTGCGTCGGCTCCGGAGTATGGCTGACTGACGGTGACAAGTAAACCTCAAATGACTGGTGTAACCTCACCTTTCTTTGCTAGTAGTATAGGTTCATTGAGCCATGACGTTTTGGCTCGATTATGTGGCTGTCACACTTACCTAAAATGTCAATCAAAAATAAGGTACGCTGATGTTTTCTGCAAAGTTAACACAACGGTTGAGACGTGTAAAGATGAGCGTTCTACAGAAGAAAGATCAGGTGTTTACATGGTCTTGGTGAAAGTGTTATATTAGTAATGATGCACAGCAAAAATGATCTTACCGCGCCGCAAATGTTCGCAGTAAACTAACAACATTGCTAGTTTTTAGAAAACGGCCGCATACCCCTACATGCTCGCTTCACAGATTGCTGGATCTTCTAACCCTATTTCTGGCATTTGCGCGTTGGCACCAGTTCGTCATCCAGTTAAGATGAAGACCGTTGACTGAGGGCTTCCTCAACGCCCGTGTTCTACCGTCCTTGTTTGCGTTTTTAGAATCTTCCCAGCAGCCCTTCTAGCAGTGTTGTTTCCTCACGAAGTTCGCATTGTTGTTGTAAATTCCTGTACTTCTGTCTCATTCTCCGGTTCGCACTGACTAGAGACGGCTCCGGCTGTTATTTGATCCAACGGGGGAGACTTCGTTACTAGTGTCAAATCTCGGCGTCGGCAAGACCAAGTAACTGGACAAACCGAAATCAACCCGGAACCAGTAAGTGAAGGCGAAATTATCGATGGGTACCAAAGCCATAGCAACGTATGTACAGGTCAATGGTGAATCAAGATAGATTCCCTGCTCCCTTTCCACTGCTCTCGCGCCCTCGAACTACCGTTCCCGCACAGTCTGCCGATTTCGACTCGTGGACATCCTCACAAGGTGTCCTACTGTAGTGAGCTCTTGCGGCTGACTGGATGCTAAGACCGTGAGTCACACGTGGGCTGTGCAAACACGTCGTTGGACTGACGACAGGCTTTCTTTACCGTTGTCTTCCTAACTTCGGAATTGTGTCAGTCAATCTGTCCATTTAGCTGATTGGTGGATTTGGTAAACGAAGTAACTTTGGGGTATGTATATGGTCTGGTTATTTTTTTCCGGCCTGTGCTCCGAGTGGGCAGCTGATTCGATTAGCTAAAGCCTAGTGCCGTTGTTTACTGATTATCGTTACACGACCTCCAATGGTGGCTCTAGAGAGCAGCTGCAAGGTAAACTAGAACGCCTGTATTCGATCCTGCCGCCAAGGCAGTTCGCTGAGTGCTACTTATACGTGACTTTGCTGTTCACCTCATCCCCACATATGCTTCTACCTTCTTGTACTATAACATTTCATAAGCAGTTTTCGCCTCCAATCCTGCATTCGCTGTCATTGTTTCTGCTTCCTCTAGTTGGTATTTTCTCTTCAGGGGCTTCCAAAGGCATTTGCACCATGTCACTGAAACTGCACTCAATAGTCAGAGGAAAGGTACATTACCCCTTCTGTCTTACGTCTGTTTTTTATCCCTCACACTGGCCTTGTCCATGCGTGCGTTCCATTTACAGTATGCAGTTCCCTAATGCGCTTGCTAAGACTGAGTACTAGTTAGTACGCTTTGTTTAAACATTAACGGCAAACTGTTGTCTACCCTTTCGCTTCCCTTCCCAAGGTTGTTTCTATCAAAGACTTCGGCGCATTCGTTAGCATTGAGGGCTCGACCAAGCAGGGCCTCGTCCATCGTAGCCAGATATCAAACCACCGGGTAGACGATGCCTCAGAAGTATTAGAGGTCGGAGAGATGGTGTTCTGCAAAATTATCAGCAAAGAGGTTAGTTTATTCCCTCAACCACGCCCAAATAGTTGTTCAAACATTCTGCCCTACTAGGATGACAAAATCGGACTCAGCATGAAGTTTGTCAACCAGACATCTGGCGAGGACAAGGACCCAAACAACGTTTTGGCAACGTGAGTACTTACCAAATGCCATGACCTTCCCCAGTTTCGCGTTTTTCAAACTGTATTTCAGCAAGAGGGTTGATGATATCTGCGATTTTCCTCTTTTCAGACAGCTAGCAAAGAGGAGACAAGGTCATACCCGGGATCAAAACCCAATTCGCCTAGAAGCCGAACTCAACACGGTGTGCTCTCGGTGCAAGGGCAAAGGTCGGCATATATGCTTTTGTGATTCTGTTCCCCTGCTGTATCTGAGATCTCCATTCGAAGCATAATTATCCTCGCATTTTTGTGGACATCCAGTCCTCATCTGGAAACCTTAACCATTTGCAGTACCCCCATAACCGTCGTTTGGGTGCGACTCTTTGCATTTCAGGTTGGTTTGCGCCAACGCATTCATAAAACATCGTAGGTTTATTGTGGCGTTATTGCTGTTGCCGCCATTACTTTCGCTGACAAGGGCACCATCGTCGGTGGTGATCAAAGTCTATTTTGGCGTCGGGCAGTTGGGACTAATCTACAAGTTTGATTACGGTCAATGGTGAGCCCGTGTCTGTGGTAATGGACGCATCCCGCACCTGCTCAGTGGACAGTTCTAGCCAATGTTCCCAAATATTGCATGATTCACCATAGGCACAAGTTTCGTTCCGAACTGTAAGAAATTTGTCCCCAAAGATTTACTCCAAGTTAGCTCATTAATTTCTGAAGATGTTAGGAAGCTGAAATGTATCCAACGTTGTGTAGCCACAGACGCCACGCGGGTGAGCTGTCTGACGTGACCTGTTTTTTGTTGGATGGAGTTCTGTAGATTTAATTAATTGCGTCTATGACAACGAGGGTTGAAAATGGGCTTCTTTTGGCGATTTCCCAGCGGCCGACAGTGCGCTTTCGTGTACTGACAAGGGGCGAGCCGTGGGTGTTACCAATTACAGTGCGTTAAATGGGTGAACGAAATTGCTAAGTTAGGTCCCAGATGTCCATTGTCTTTAAGACGTTGGAGGTCCCTTCATGCACGTTCCAGCTCAGGTCCGGGCTGTGATGGATGTGAATTCATCCTTCAGGTACAGGTTTGTGCATTGGCTGACACAACCAAGTAGTCTGCCACGTGTACCTGTAACCAGCATTAGAATGCTTATTGAAATATCGAGTCCAGATAATGCAATGAAATCGGACTTCCTTTGTCCAATTACTTTCCTCTGTCCAGTTATTGGCAGAGTTGTCAGCAATATAAAAACTAATTTCAATCTGCGTTAATAAAGAATTCGCATCTTTCTGTCACACTCCTAACTAGGAGTAGAAGTTTAGATATCGTACGGGATGTTTGACTACTCTAGCAAGTATGCTCTTAAAAATGACTAACCAGAGATTTTGCTCAGTCTTAGTGGGGACCACCTTCAGAGTCAGATATAAGAATGTATCGGTTATTCGCGCAGTTTGGAGGAACGCCCTTAAGTCGACGGCGAAGGATTCGGCGTTAAAAGTTTCCTGTAACCGACTTTTAGAGGTTTGAGCATTTTGCTGACAGCAGCTTTCTTTAGAGACCCAGAAAATTTAGAACCGCCCGCTAATGTCAGACTTGACAATTCCGTCTAAATACATGCATGCCATGTGCAGTTTCACCATAATTCCGCATTTGGATTAAAAAGGAAACCGAGCGACCAAATTGTCCATGTGACAAATGAGAACGAAATGCCCACATTCAATGCGTCCATGTTTGTCAGGCGGATAAGCATATAGCACTACAGTTCCTTTTGTGAAAAATCTTTACTCATTACGCTCAGATTCCAAACTGTAGCAACGAAACCGGTACACTTTTTTTCTTGAAATCGTGACGGAATTTAAGAGACCATTTCCTCTCCTCGTGGAAGGACCCTGGGCATCTGACAGCTAGCGGAAAAGTTTACACTACTTAAGTGGCAACTTTTAATCGAGTGTAGTTTTTGCAGGCGTCTGAAAAGAAGTGTTTTCATAAGCTGGCACCCTGACTCCAAAAGGTCAACTTTTCATCCCCAATTTTCCCTTCGTAGGCCACATGGCAAACACGTGTTTCGCACGTCTCAACGAGCCGGTCCTCAATCTCTTGTCTGATTCGGACTCTTCATCAGATAAAGCCCCTGTGAGTGCTCTGACACCCAGAGAGAGGCGGGATTCCCACCAGAATAAGCCCAAGGTATGTCCCACTGGCGTAGCCGTCCGCCCTACAGGCTGTTTCATGCTTAACTGTGTGCAGCTTACAATAAATAAACATATTCCCACTAGGGGCTTTATAGTTTACTTTCAGATTATATGAAATTCTCTCATCCGACCGCCAACCGAACAGAAGGAGGATGTTACCCTCTCATTTGATCTGGTCTCGCCTGACTTAGGACAGGAGACCCGACCCAAACAACGACCAGCAACACTAGAATGACAATTTATTACCTGCTATCTATCATCAACCATTGAGACCCCCATTTCAGTTGCTGAAGTGTGCGGGTTCCTGGTTATAGGTCGGGAATGCCCAGGCAAAATCGAAATGTCTATTTCCACCCCGAGATCGCGATGAAAGCCACTCTCGTGTTGCGATCCAAGTTTTTTCCGGACTAAGCAGTTTCTATCGTTCAGAAATGCCATTATTTCAACCTGAGATCCTTCGCCCCCTGGAAAGCAACTAGTTGGTTTTTTGACCTTTTATTGCGCCTCGGAACCGCATCAAGCCTTCAATTGCCCTCCACCTAATTGACGCAGCGTTCTCCGGTTGTACCGCCCTACCTATTATGTATCGTGACCTCAATGGCTGCCATCTTCACACTACCGCGAGCACTATTGGCTGATGGTGGAATTCACCTCTTTGAAAACTAGCCAGGACAATTGCTGATGGAATTTCGTCATGGTCTACTGACTTAGTTGAAAAGCGCCAAGTCCTTTTGCTTTGTCTCCCTTTCAGTCAGTCTTTCGGTGTTTTTAGCATCACAAACACAAGCATCGGCACAGAAATCGCAGCCTCTCCGTCGAAAAGGAAAAGGAAAAGAAGAAGAAGAAGCGAAAGGTCCGTCTTCTAAAATATTGTTCTGATTCCTACCAGAGTGAGCCTCCGTAAACACATCCTAAAAACTCGCCCGACCTAGTCGCTTCCGATAATTGAGTCGAAGGTTGCTCATGAGGCGCTGTGCCAGCGCCTGCCATTTGCAAGCAAAATTCCCTCCTCTTAATTAGTGCTTTTTTCATCCATTCCCTGTCTTCCACCCTCGCCCTGGCACGGGTTTTAGGCTTTCCATTCGCGCTGGCCGTGCTGGTCTCGCACATGTCGTTCTAAACTGTGAACTATTTCAGTGCTCACATGTTGAGATATTTGCACCCATTGGTGGAGTTTGTCAGGAGAAAGGGATAGGGTTATTTTGTACTTTTTGGTTTTCACAGGGTAGACTTGCTCTTCTCGGAGGATGGGTTGCCCGTTGGGCTTAGCTGCTGGCTACTCGGTGCGTCCACAGGTGGTGGATAGTGGAACGGCATTCAGTGAAGGTTAGGTGCGAAATAAGCAGAACCAGGTCTGACGAATAAGCAGTCGCGGACATGCAGCGACAGTGCTACCAGGGTGCAGAGGGCTGAGATCTGGCACGCTGATAATTAAGCGACAATTATTGTTAAAAGTCAATTCCCCGAGTTAGACGCATCTGCACTCCGAAAGTCCGGATGCATTTCCTTTTTACTTACACATCGTCCTGACGCAAAATTGTTTGTGTTGGATGGATAATTCAACGGTAGATCATTTTTCGGTCTTTCTAGTACTCAGAATCAACCCAGTCATGGGGGTAATTCCTTCTTGGAACACTCACCTACTTATCTTTCTTTATTCTCTCGAAAAGTCATTTTTATGCCCTCGTGCTTATTCCTAATCTGCATTTATTTTTAGCGTGACAGTTCGTCGAAATCTCACAAGACGAGTCACAAAAAATCCAGGGACTCGTAGTACCAACGGTGGTCATTTAATGTGCACTTTCTAATACATCGTTTTTCGCCTCACTCTTTGTGTTCTTCCCGCTTCTGCTCCAACCTAACGCGCTGTTTTTCTTCAGCTCGCAAATGACCCTGGGCAGTGGGTTTCTGGTGGGAAGATTGTTTATTTGCGAGGTATACGAGAATTGTGGATGTAGCCTCGTTTTTGCGTGCGCCAGCGCGAGTGGTTATTAGCTTTTGTAGAGATTCTGCTTTGGTGGACAGCAACCATGCTCATTCTAAGTTAAATGACGGAAGCGGATGCACCATGTCTGTGCCGAAAAAGTACGAGCTCCACCGTTATCGTAATCACCAACGCCATCACAGTTATTCCACCGTTGGTATCCGTGGCGGTGGCTGTGAGCCTGGCGCGGAAATTTAGCCAACCCCTCTTACCACCGGTCTTGTCCAAGACAGTTTACCCACGAAGAGGTGACCGAAGAAAATCAGTGCGGAGTGTCCAAGAGAGAAATGTAGGACTGTCCCTTTCGATGACCGGATACCACGCCTAGGTGAGTCTCTGGCCATTTACGGAAGAACTGACGACTCTGCTGGGCAGATTGCTGTACTTCTACAACCCTTCCCTACGAACTTCTTAATCTTTCAATCAAACATGCTCTTTTAAATGTGAACGTTATTGCTTTTCGTGTTAATTAATAAGCGGTGTTAACTGCTGAAGATATGTAGTGCAAACTGCATGTACTGTGTGACCAACGCTCGGATTTAACGGATGTCGAAATAGACCCTTCGAAGGTCTATTTAGTGTGCTAAAAGGGGGCGAGTTTGGGCGCAATCGTGCGTTTAAATATTTCGAAAGAGGAGTAAAACATCAGCACATGCGTATGTATTGGTATTTGTAAAGCGGATAGAATTTCCGGGATATTAACTTAATACTAAGGAGAACCAAAGGACGAAGGGAGTTTGACCCTACGTGAGCGATGACAGTGGAAGACACGAACACGTTGGGGCATTAGACAACAGTGAGGGTCTGAGACGCGACGAACTTAGCAACTCCTTGGTCAGTCTCCATCAGATGCTTTCGCCAGGCCATCATCTCTGGGTAGGGTTGCAGACAGTCTGGTTTGTTGGCCAGCAGGAAGTCAACAAAAGGCAACAAGTAGAAGTCGGCAATGGTGACATTCGCGGAGGCCGCACATGAGCCGGGCACTTCCTCCAACATCTTGTCAATCATCTGGCGAGGAGTAAACAAAAGGCTTACGGGGCAAGTGAACACAGAGATTAGATCTTGTCACCCCCGCAGGGTGATTATTGAAAGGAGGACTAGCGTTAGTGGAAGAGGACCTGGTCCGCCGGCAATGGCATCATTTCTCAGGAAGCTTTAAAGTTCACACTTGGAATCTTACAAGGCATTTCTACTCAGTGGTGGCGATAAATTGTCAATTTCCAGATAAATCGTCCACCAGCAGTCGGATCATCCACCTGCATGCAATAAGTTCTCCAACCTTGTACACGCCAATTTCCCCGCCTAAGATCATTACCGCAATCTGTCCAAAATTTCAGCCAGACGGTTGAAATCGCAGGTTCACCAAATATACCAATGATGGGTTATGTGGAAGGTGTGCATATGCTTAACTGCTTACTGAAGTATCAACATCCATCACTTAGCAATTTCAGCTGATCCAGCGCGCAACCCCTATAACCTCACTGGTAATCATAAAGACGTGATCTAGATGGCCATTGCGTTGACAGCCATCTGTAGGATGTTCGGTTAATATCGCCCGACTCTTTAAATCTCCATCAAAAGTACTAATTGGCCGACAGAATAAATAACCGGCAGATGTTGAAGTCCAAGCTATGATGCCTTGTACTCAGGTTATGAGCACTTTCGGTCATTTATAACACATTTAGTCATCAGACCGGTATTAGGAATTGCGAAGCTTGGCGGACAGCTTAACACGAGGAAGTGTTGGTTAGTTGGCTTCTCGTTCAACCGACAAGCATTCGCCGAACGCGAGACTGGATGAGTGTTCGTTTGACAAATAGTCTAAAATGAGCGAGGTCGTGGTTGCTAACTACGCTGTTGCTGTGTGGAAAAAGCCACTGCCTCCTGATTGTGCCCCTTTTGAGGGAAATGCTTTTCCTCTCTCGCTCCCTCCCACCGTGAGCTTTCTCGTGTGCATTTGTAAGCGTTTGCAGCAGCCTTACGATAGAATACTCATCCAGCATTTGTAGCCGGCTTTTTGTTTCTTTTCCCAGCCGTCGACTTATTGAGCCCAGTCGGTGAGTCATGACGAAATTTAAAGGCACTGCACTCGAGCAAATTCTAGATATTTATCAGAATGTGCCAAATAAAAGACATCGGGTATGCCAAAAAGATGTCGGCATTTGGTTGAAACAGTGGCATTGGCAGCATATCGATCGACTCCTGGAATATTGTGCTGTGGCGGGAGGGGGTAGTTGTCTTGGAAGAGTAGCTGCAAACACTGTGCTCACGGCTCTGCATCATCGCCGTCGTAGTCACCCTCTTTTGTCGCCTACCCACGCAAAACATGGTTAGCGTCTCCATCCGGCAGTCGACACCAGCATGCCAATTTTCACCAAGTAGTAGCTGAGCTCTCCAAGAGCATCAGTCAAGAGGACTCAGGCTGGTTTCCAAGCGGCGACGAAGTTGCTACAACCGGCTACGAATGGTTGTGTGCCCGGGGTTCAGGTGGTTGCGAGCTGTCGTACAGGCTGGTCATGTAGGCTGAGCGCAGTTGGAAGTGGTTCTATGGCAGTACCTCGATAGCATTCGGCCTGGTTGGATCACAGAGCTTTTAAAGACTTATGCCTCGCGGGCGCTCACGGAAATGTCAGCGTGCATACATCAAGCACAGTCGCTCTAAACCAGCTGCCTTGACTACATTTTACAAGTAAATCTAGTGGGCCTAATGGAACACCTAATGCATTTTAGTTCTCCCGTTTGTTGTCCCCCAGTTGATCGGAATACCCCGCAGGCGTGGATTCGCTACCCAGTATCCATGCGTCTGTGTTTTTTGGAGTCCGTGCTAGGTGGAGGTCAACACGACAGCCGATGCACCTAATTTCATCGCCCGCTGACCGGCAGGGTCGGAGGAGTAGTTAGGTTGTGAAACGGGTGAGACTGGGAATAAACCGGAGGCACCCGTCCTCATACAATTTAGACACATGCCTCACTATGGTAAATCTAACGTAATAAACATCGTGGTTTAGAATTTTGTAGGGAGAAAGGACAAGTGGGTCTGCTTTTTGAACGGTGTGAGACGTCAGTGGGTCCCCTCTGCAGTGAGCCCAGTGATACCTTCCACCTTTCTTCAACCCGAGCCTATTAGTAATACTAGTTGCGTAGCGGCCTCCTATCACTCCATCCCTGCGCCCAGTCTCTTTTCAGTCGGTTTGGCTCATGAAGGCCGTCGGGATTCGGGAAAGCGAAGGAAGAATGATGTCGACCCAACTCGATTTCAACGCTCAATTACCTCACTATTGACAATCGAACAGTTGACGGGGTAACTTGGTCATCCTATAGACTCAAAGGTAGACTGCGATAACCCCCTTATTGTTAGTCCAAAGACCCTCTTGTTACAGCTCGATGTGTACGAAGCCAGAGACAATAGCGCGCGTAGATGAACCATTTGGCATTGTCAGTCACTGTTGCTCTTTAATTTCCTTAGAAATTAGCTGCTAACTTGGGGTAGGTCAGTGTATTTAAGGTCTATAGGCTCAGACCAAAGCGTTTATGCATGCATATTTGGTTTATAGTCCATCAGCCACAGCGGATAACCGCGTAATATTCATTAACTGCCGACAGGCAGCCAGTAGAATACATCAGTCACATCGCCCACCGCCAGCTCCACTAACCCTAATTCTATGCTGTCATTTGGCACGATATGCATGAAAAAGAGGGAGTGTTATGGGTTCTGGGCAAGTCCGCCCCACTATAAGTAACTTTTGTGTCCTCTAGGGTGGTGATGATCAGCATCGCTTGTGATGTGCGAACTACCGAAGCTGGGTCCCGAAGCGGACTGCGCTGGTTCATCAGGCCGAAAAGTTGGCAAATAATTCTATTAACAAAGAAATGCCCCAGGATGACTGGCTTGCGCGAGTTGGAGGAACATCACGTGTGGGGTGTGCGAGATAGAGGGCGAAATGGCTAGGAAGCCATCGCACCAGATGTTGCCTCCAGTGACCATAAAACATTCCAGCTACTGGCACACAATTGAGGGAGAGACCCACATCGTGAGATCCTTCCTCGGTGTAACCAAGTGGCACACATTTACCCCATCACGTAATCTAAGACGTCATGGTTGAGAAGGGGGACGACAAACGAGAAGACTTTGTCCCAAAGACTACGACCCAGATCGTGATGGCATCTTGTAATAGTGTTCTTATAGTAGCTCTGGAAGGGGGCATACGAATGGTGGAAAAGCAAACCGGTGATACTCTGTCGCACGCGCAGTTCGAGGCAATTTTCCGGGTTATTTTGTGCTTCCGCTCTTACTCCTATTTACTGGAACTTAACAGAAAGTTGGAAGAAAGCGTGAGAGCAACTGCACATAACTATTCCCAGAATTCGTTTTACGCATAACTACTGTCAACTCACACAATCGGTCCATTTCGAAAGACACTTAACATTGATACTTTATTTTTCGGGAGATGACTTACCTTCAGGAGGGGGGCTAAATCTTCAAAGAGTTTCTTTTTGTGTTCCTCTTTGTCATCGTGTGTCCTCCTTGTCAAGTAATACTGGGTCAGTGGCTTGGCCGTTTCAACGATCTGAACTTGCCCATGAAATGAAAAATATACTCAGCCGCGAATGAAGGGGTTTTGCTTACATGAATGGGGCCATTTGAAAGATCATTACAAATAACGAAGAAGTGATTGCCACATCTCAGCGCTAACGAGAACCTCAAAATTTAATTTTAAGCCTTCTTACAGTGCCGATATGAATATTGAGCATATCTTACTACATGTTCAGTGGCAAATAACCCTTCCCGTGCCTGTTAATTTGCTATTTAGGATAATCTCACATAGAAATATAACTAGTAATGTTGCGCCTATGTTTAGATGTCAAATCAGATGTCTGTTTGCAGAATTGCGTTTCGGGAACTGTCACTTGGAACAGGGTTGTTCATTCAAAAGGTCTTCGCTTATGAAATCTTTACGGTGGAACATCCAGTGAGCCCCGAAATAAGATGGAGAGGCTGAAAAACGACAGATTGAATGAGTAGTTTAAGTAACCTTGGGAATATTAGTAAACACGTAGAGTAAGACACAAGCTGCAACATCTCGCGATTAATAGTTCAAAAACATAGTATTTTGCGACCGGACAAAGCAATCTTGGCAAATATTTCCTTTTGGGAAAACTACTATAGATGTGTTATTATTCATTTCCATCTATGCAGTGTTTTTGGCATTGCCTACACAGAAAAACGGTGGGCAGTCACTCATGAATATTCTAGGGAAACTTTTCAATGAAAATAGTAAATGAAAACTGGCTTGGTACAGCGTCAAACCTTGGAACACAAAGAATAGACAGAAGTCACTGCGTATTCTCTAGCATGCTGACCGTTGTCTGAGTATCCCACAACAACTTGGAAAAATGCTCTAATTAAGCGTCTACGGTCAGTTACAGGAGATGTGCTAACTAATGAAATGTTAGCCGAAATCCTGAGATGCGTTTTCGACTCGAAAAGATTACTTAAGTAGAGTTGTAATATTAATCACCGTGCAACATAATCCCGTGTCGGCTTTTGGACGAATTTCTTTCCGGTCACCTGCGAAAACTACACCCTGCAAAAAATGACTACTGAGGTAGCATGGGTTTTTCGCACTAATTTCCGATGCCGTTATAAATTCGAATGTATTTCATAGTAAATATGCATAAAAATAATCGCTGATAGAAGCTAACATGCGACTTCCAGGTAGCAGTTCAGAAGACGAAGATGCGATCACTGGAACAAGAAATTTATTGGTCTGACGTTTCGGATTCCCACTCGAATCCATCATCGGAGACAGTCACAGATAAGGCTAATGGTGACACAATGAGTGCAGTATTTATTGCACGTGGCTGCCGCGGAACCATATGTGGTGGCTTGTCAGTCTGCGTCCGAGTCATTAATTGCCATGATTCCGTCATCCGTGTTGGATGCTGGTGTGACGATTGCTTGGCAAATTGACTCACTTCATTCTTTTACTCACTTGATGGCGAATTACGTCTTCGAATTTTGTACTTGGGCTGGGAGTATACATCGATTGTAAAGAGTTTCTAATTGTGAGAATTTTTAGAACTGTGAAATGCCCGCTCATAAAACGTCATGTCTCTGCATTTACTAATGTACTTTGTAAGACTTACAATGCGGCTCAAGTCCATTGCTAAATTTTATGAACCCCATATGATCTCCTCTTAATACCGTGAAGAAATGTGCGATTTTCCGTACACGAAAAATATACAGCCTGCAGTTCGGAAACCCTGAGTGCAAATGTAGCGGCAGGTCGGGTTCATAATTATTCGGGTACTGGAAAAGTTTTTTACAACCGGTTTTAAAAATTCTCACAATTAGAAACTCTTTACAATCGATTTATACTCTCAGCCCAAATACAAAATTCGAAGAAGACGTAATTCTCCGTCAAGTGAGTAAAAGAATGATTATTGTTATGAATGTTTAATATGAAATATATTCGAATTTATAACGGCATCGGAAATTAATGCGAAAAACCCATGCTACCTCAGTAGTCATTTCTTGCAGGGTGTAGTGTTCGCAGGTGGCCGGAAAAAAGTTCGTGCTAAAGCCGACACGGGATTATGTTGCACGGTGATTAATATTACAACTCTTCTTAAGTAATCTTTTCGAGTCGAAAACGCATCTCAGGATTTCGGCTAACATTTCATGAGTTAGCACATCTCCTGTATATTTTCTTGCAGAAAGATCAAAAAGTTCGCTTCAAATGCTATTTATGCGAAGTTCCACCTGCCGCACGTTTGTAACTTGGAAGAAAGGGCGAGATAGGACACGGGAATAGCAACTCCCCGACACAATAGTGGCCCTGCGTTAAATTCCAGGGAGATTAGGGGTGGGTTAAGGCTAGAATTATGGCTGAGTTTGGGGTCAGGGGCTGAAGTTAGGGTTGGTGTTAGGGTGAGGGTTAGGTTTATCGCCAGGGTTAAGTTTGTGGCAAGGGTTAAGGTAAGGGTCAGGTTTAAAGCTAAGCCTGAGCATGGGGTTTGTTTTGGGGTTAGTACACGCGAACTGATAAGCTTCCTGGAAAGATGCCCAATCCAGACCAAAGTGCTGTCGCGGAAGAAATGTTTTTAATATATGTTTCATGATAATCTATCTTCTGGCCGTTCCTCAGCGGTCTTTCTCATTCGTAAGTAAGCCGAACAATCCTCGTCGTTTTGGCGTAGGCTTTACTCTTCTTCTATAAGCCTGATGGATCAACGTGGATGGAAACATTTTATAAAAATGCTGGCATTTGCTGAGGTTTCCTCCTAACACTTTACGTTTTCGTATAACAACTCTCATTATCCATAAAAGTGGAAGTGCAATTCTCAGGACGCATATCAGAAGAAGAGGAGTCGTTCATTCGGCATAGGTCTGTTTGGGGTATTACGATTCGAGTAGTGATTTCGCCTGCCAATCTTCGGAGTTTGATGTGGCCACAACAGTTTGCCTCCTCCTATCTGGTTTTACGAGCTGTCTTGACAGCAGACCGTGACGGCGTAAAGCGACCGAGGCTGCCGATTATCTCAGCCGTCAGCGGGGACGGGAGCGACGCAGGTCGCGGAGAAACAGGCGTCATACTCAGCGTCATAGTCGGCATTAACGGCCTACGGGTCAAACAAAATGCGCCATATAACGAGAGCTGCGCGAATGATTTCCCTGTCTCTGAAGATGGTTAGGCAAAGTCACTGCTTGAAACATCAGACCTCAACTAAACCTCTCACAGTGAATGCCTCTACTTCTTCTTCTTCTTCTTCATCTTTCGAAACCCCATTGTCTATTCACTTTTAGCTTGTGGCATCTTCAGAGTTGTCGACAAGAGTCATCTAGGGCTTGTCCCTATAGCACGCTTAGAATAAGGAATTCGGGTGAAGTTCGTGCTGCAAAGGTGTTTACCGTTGACAGTCCAGTCCTTATATCCATAGCCGGGAGATTTAAGCCGTCCAACAGCATATAATTTAAACTGAAGTCATCAAAACTGCTAACAAGAAGAAACAAAAAATGCCAAATTTATGTGATTAAATCATTCAACTATAAGCCGTCAGCCTCGATACGACACGAGAGTCTACAAAGACAAGTAAACAAAAATAGGCAGATCATTTTGGGGCTGCTGTGTCTGGAGAGACGGCCGTGAATAGTCCTTTAAACTCACGGAACCATGATACGCGCCAGCCAAGTAAAGTGTTGAACTATATTCAGAGTTCGATTTTTTATTACCAACTTCCAAGGGTAAACGACCGCTCGATGGATTAGGTGCCCTAAGGCAAGGCTCTCTGTGGGAGCTTCTGATTCCCTCTTTCCAAAAGACTTCATGGTTCATCCGTATTTATTTAACTAAAATTAACTTAAGTAAGGTCTCGTTCAGCATAGCTCCGGTAAACGTACTCTAAGTGAAATTTATTGCGGTCTATAGGTGGAACTGAGAGTGGTACGAGGAGTTTACTTTTACCCAGTTGATACTTAAAGATTCGAAGGTTTCCTTGGAATTACGGCTAAACAAATCTTGAAGGCAAATACTGCACCCATCTGTTCCTTACCTTGCCTATAATCCTGTCGACGTAGTATTTTTCCATTTCATCCTTGCCAAGCAAGTTATAGGCGGCACCGATGCAACGAACGATACCCTTGGACTCGTTGATCCACGTGAGTCCACCGTCTGGACGTTCGATGCGGAGGGCGGGCACTCTCTTTGTGAGAATCTCCTCCCGAACGAGAGGCCAATCACTCTGTTTGATGGATACGTCCTTATACGGCAGCTGAAGGTGGGCCAACATCAGCTGAATGGCCACCGAATCAGGGCATTTCTTCATGTGATAGAACTGTCGTAAAAAAACAACGTTTACGTTCACCATAGCTACGAATTTTTGGAGCCCGAGGTATCTGGAGAATCTGCTGTCAGAGGACTGTGGAGTGGAGCTTCCAGAAGAGGCTTTGGTTCCTACTTTTTGATATTGTGCGGAACTGAAGCTGAATATCTTAAACACCTCAAACAACATGGACAAGTAACACAGCTGACCGAAGTATCAAATTTTTGACAACTATAAACTTAAGTGAAATCAACACAAGCTGCATACACCTGGAAATACTGTAGTAAGTAGTATTTCGCACATGAAAAAGTCCTTTACAATGCTCCAAACATTCGTTCCAGCAAAATCGTCAGACACTTTGGAGTACGATAAAGCCACCGTTGGTGCGCATGAATTGTTCTTCTCACTGCATGCTATGAAAGTGAGAACATTATACAATTATCTCACTAACATAAGGATAGTCAACCGGGATGTTTATAAAGAAATGAAGCCGAGCCTTAGAAATCACGTTTCAACGTCTATACTACGTACTATATGTCCGTTCAATAATTATCGGCAAGGATATAAAGCCGTCTACTAACGAGTCAAGTTCGTTATAGTCGCGTCATTCAGCAGGCGAAAATTGGCAAAAGACGTGCCTAGGCTTTTAGTTAGTACTGCATGTAGAGGGGTTTTAGGGCTACTTTATATGTTCTAAAAGTTCCATACTCACTTGATATGAGTTCTGCCTTGGAGCGGTTTCATGGTTACTTACCCTTTAGCATGACAGGACATGCTTGAATTCGAAAAAAGCATCTGAATGCTTTGTATGGAATCAATAGCTGTGGTGAGACTCCTAGTACGGCACTAATTATTTAACCGAGGAGTATACGCAATGACGTTGTTTATAAAAATTCCTTGAACTGCTCTACCGTTCTATTTATTTCAGACGTCCTCTTTGCACTCACTTGCACATAAATATTAACCTGCGCTTTCTCGTTCAAAAGCAGTTATTCTAAGTTGCATTTCTTCCCTTGCTGGTCGTCGGTTGAGAAGATTTGAACTCTTTACAAGCGCAGACGAGCTACGCCCGATCTAGCTGACAAGCTAGCTTACCACATGGGATATGTGAATTCCCTTAAGGTACGTGAGAACCCTTTCTCCAGGGAAGATAATCGCCAAGCTTCAGTGATGACAGAAAACTTCTCTCATCCTACTTCACGACTCAGGCTAGCGTTAGCCCATTTCCGACTTCTCATGCCTCTGCCATCCCCTGGTTAGTCAACTGAAATAAAACATACTAATAAACTGAGGCGTAATTTTTCCACTAGGGGTCACGGGGTCCTGAACTCCAGTACTTGATCACAGAAAGTTTGTTACGTTAGCCCGGCACGAAAACATTACAATGTGGCCCTTAAACTTACTATCTGCTGAATACTCTGAGAATTCCTGTCAAGTGATGGAACCAGGGCTGCTGAAGATCCGCCCTGTTGTTACGATTCTCTGCACAAAGCGGAGGTGGACATGGATGGGAATTCATTCTAGATCTTAGTTAAACCCTCTGTCATTCCTGTGTCATTTATTGCCATTTAGCGGTCTTTCAGTCGTAGGACTTTGCGTGCATTTGCATCTACCCTTAAACACACGAACATAAACCACGTCAATTTTGTATAGGCTGACTTGTGTTTTATATTGCCTAAGTCAGGAGATGTTGGGAAGGTGAGCTATCTCAATCTTCATTCGCTTACCCCTTTAAAGAGCCCACAATTTTCCGGGCGTTAGAGTCGAACTAGACCAAAACAACAAAGAAAGTCTCATTAACGGCCCAGAAAAATATTTGAGTCGGATATCCTAGATAGCTGCATGACTCGATGAAATACTGAGGACGTGGTCAGTTAAAAGACGTGTTACCATTTACTGCATCAAGTTGTCGTATATGTCTAAAACTAAATCTCGCTGATCTACTAAGAACGGGATGAGGAGCCGTTGCAATCTGTCTTGAAGTCTTACCGCGGTTCCTATATAAACGCCATGTATTTTGAAAACTTAGCATTTAATATCGACTATATCCTTGATGTTATCAAATTTTCTGACGCCAAATTTGTCAATTTTAGGCTGGGTTGACAGAAAGAGAGATTCAAAATTCTGAAAAATTGGCAAACGGAGGGCCAGAAATTCCAGTAACATTGCTTGCATTGCTATCTTCTAGTCCTTTGCCGTTTGGACCTACTCACGTTCTCACAGCCTTGCACAATTCTCTAAGTAAATAAACCTTGCATTCTCCTAATCACCCTACGTATTTTCCAACCCCCTGGTGTTTACCACCACGTTCTTAAGTTAAGGCAACTTACTATCGCAGGAAGTGTATCCGAACAGGGTGGACAAGGCTTTGCTAGCCTAAGACAGTCAAGCCAAGGATATTACAAAACAAATCAGTGAAACGGAATTGTTGGTTTCTGGTTCCTGTCCATTTTTAATCAGATCCAGATGGCTGATAGTCCAGAAGCGATCATTACCCTGTCGTTGTCTTTGTTAATTAGGCTTCAGCACTATCGATTTCTCACCATTGGGCCATGACTTGAGTTTTTAGAGGAGACAAAACATAGTTTGGCGTGTTCCATCTTCCAATAAAGTGCGTCTGGGTACGCAACTGCAGTGTAAAACTCTAAACCTCGGGCAGGACATAAAAGTCAGGGATATCAAGTGTAAAAAGTTCGTTTCGTGTGAATATTCAGGATTTTGTGAATAATGTACCTGTTAACTGAAGCAGGGAAACAAACTGCCTTAAGTCAAGGACTTTTTTAAGAAGCCGATGTTTCCGGGCATAACTGAACCACAACAAGTCATTATTTTATGTCAATGCGGAGCGGATACCATCGGCCGAAACGGAAGTATTCCATTGTTCCTGGGTTATCTGTGGTGAAATCTTATTTTTAACATCCGTTTCAGAGCCTTAAGCTCCCGTATAATGATTGATTTTGTCCAGCCTACTTTGCATTTCCTGTTAATCTGCTTTCCGTTTATCAAAAGTTAAGTGGGAACACTACATCAAGTCTCGTTTTACATAAATGGCGAGGGCCAAACTAATGATCTAATGGATGACATTAGAAAGCAGAAGCCAAAGATTTCATCCACTTGTCAAAGAAGAGCAGACGGAATTCCTACCTTGTTTAACTTTAGAGACAAACACCATTTAAGACTAAGTTTTGACTACCTAAACTGCGAAGTTTCCGGAGGGTGTGTCTCAAATGGTACTTGTGCCTTATCCAAGATCTAAAGTAGTGATACCTTTAAGTAAAAATCTTATTAAACAAATAAGACCTAGTAGCCACGGCTTCCAAGACCAAGGCATTTTATTAATGAATAATTTAGCAAAATTCATTGATAATTAGCTAAGAGAAGCCTAAGAAGATATGTAGATAGCATCGAATAAATTACACCTGTTAGCTGTTTCTTCCAAAACACAGCATATTTTGCTAATGAATAATTTGGCCGAAGTTCGTCAATGACTATTTAGAGGAAGCCTAACAAGATCGATTTCTCATTGGTAGTCTATTATTGAAAGTATGACATTAACCTAGGCAAAAACTTTCGCTGACAATTTCAATACTGAAAAACAGCACTTTTGCTGTCATAACTCTCAGCGCATGTCTATACCGAGACCAGCAGATGAGGCCGTATGTGTATAGCAGAATTCCAAAAGTAATGACACACGTTTCAGGAGGTTTTGACGTTGAAAAGTGCAAAAGCCGGTGAGGAGACTGGACACTTACGGTTATTTTAACTCCCTTCAGCTGATCTGGTCTGAAGTTGTTGAACATTCTGTCGGGTTTCTATGTCGCTATTAGCACTTTGTTGCGCTTTCTTCGTGCCCCTCAATGAGTATCACTGCAGCTGAGCTAGTCAAAACCTTCTGGATTGTGCGAGAGCTGTAGTCTGCTCCGTGCAGGTTCAGTGATAGAAGAAGTAGGAGACGTGTGCATGTGTGCGTCTTTCAATGAGTCATAAGCACATCCTTTGGCATGCTATGGGCGGGTAGAGCGACAGACTAGACTGAGGTGAGGAGAGGAATTCCAGGTGAGCCAAGCATTTCCAAGGTCTCAATGTCCTTGTGCGCTGGCGCATGAGTGTGTACGTGTGTCAGCAACCGTAACCAATAGGTGTGAGTGCGCTAGAGAGATCGATGGACTGCGCGCTTCTCGGTTAATGGTCCAATCGACGCAAAGGTACTTGGATAAACGCAGACAGGAAAGCTTGACACGTCCTGACGAACTTGTCATAAATAATCCAAAGTGTAATTTCTTTTACTAAAGAAAACAAAAATCTGACCAGGGGTTTAATGTCTGGGACGACAACACCTTTCGGCTACTGATGCACTGTCACTGTGTGAAAACATTTGACGTTTACAGATTGGAGGTCAAAACGGAATCTAAAGTATTCCATACTTAGAACCTGGCACAGAGCTAGCAGCGGCAGACAGAAAGGGTGGGGGGATGCAAGTGCATTGAGCACTTGGTCTAGACGCTGCTGTTCACGCATCGAGCCTAGCAACTCTCTGGACTAGAAAGGGGTAAGATCAGATTGTGCATACGGGACATAATACCGTGTTAAGCTAATGATTGGCCTTGAGTAGGGTAATTACGCGGACTTGGTGTTTGGCGCTTCCTTCTAACCTTTGAGTAGTCCGGGTTAAGGATTGGGGGTTAGGGCAGAGGTCAGGGTAGGGCCAGGGGTTAATGGTTAGGGGTTAGGGTTGGTGGGTAGGGTTAGGGGTCAAGGTAAGGGGCTAGAGTTAAGGTTAGTAGTTAGGAGTGTGGGTTATGGGTTAGGTTTAGGGTTAGGGGTCAGTTTTAGTGTAAGGTCTACGGTCACGGTTTGGGAGAGAATGAGGACAACCCTTTCCATATCCCTAAGCCTAACCTCCAAGCTAACCCAAACCCTAAGACTAACAATACCTCTAAAGCGGAGCACGAGACTGCACTTTTCCTTTTCAACAATGTGCAGTTGTGCAATTTCAGCATAATCTCGCCTACCCAAAACAAATCAGTAGTTCAGCAGTATAATCTTAATCAGGCGCCGCTGCACACCGCGCCGAATGACGTTGATTACGCGTCGTCAATTTCAATTGCCTGGTTGGATCCCTACCGTATTTTTAGCATTGACGCTTCAGTTTCAGCCCATTCAAAGTTTTATTGCACACTCCATTAACTCCTTTTTTACAGCCATCTCACTGAAGTGTCCGATTGCCCCACCCGTAAGAGCACCTTTACCACTGTTCCCGTATTACATGCCGTTGGAGTTTAGTCGTTTTAAGGACGGCTGCAAGATCAGATCTAACCTGTAAAAGAAGGGGAGGGCAAAGAGAACGGAAGCAGGGTGCAAGTGCACTGAGCACTTGATCTAAACCGCTGTCCACACACCGAGCCTAGCCACTCGCTAGATTAGAACAGAATGAGAGGCCAAACAGAACGGGAGCGAGGCGCAAGCGAATCGAGCACTTGGTCGGAACTGTGACTTTGACGTACCTAGTGAATGCATTTAGTGCAAATTTCAATGATGCCTTTTCAAAGTATATCATTCCAACATGGCCGCGCCTACTAAAAACACTTCAGTAGGCCAGCAGTATAATATTCCTAAAGTGCGAGCGCAGGACCAAACCCTACTCAAGTCAAATTTATACATCGAACCATCCTCTCCTGTTGTGATCTTCTGCGCATCATCAGAATACATTCACGTCTGAACTTAAAGTAAGAACTGGAGAACATCATGACCTTCTCGACTGACATACGATTTAGAGCAGTTCGACTTTAGTTTAAATATAATACGTTCATCTATCTCGGTCGAATCTACCAGCATGGAGGCGGACCTGCAGCGGGTTTTTCCTGATATTCTCGCAGCGAAGTTCCTCGTGGAGGGCATCTGTCCATAGGATTCTTGCAAAACTTCGACAGTCTTGATGACGCAGTAGTCGTAGTAAAGTGTGAGCAGGTCGACAAATCCTTAAAAGATATGCTTCGCGTAAACATGCGGTTTGCCGCTGAATCTCAATGCAGAAGACCTTCCATACCTCAACAGTCCGGCATGTAGGGAACAAAGCAGCAAACTGAGAACGAATGTGCACAGATAGAAGACACCTGCCGGTATAGATTTGCAACTTAATTTGTGGGACGAAGGGAGCGGCATCCGAACTTTTATGCTCGTGAGGCTTTGCGTGTTTCGACCTGCAGCTAGGAGCAGCAACGAAAAGACTCGTAACAAAGAGGTGGTTGTACGATCTAAAGCTAGCAGTCCCCTTCAGGAGACTATGAAGGGATTCCTACGAAAACCTTGCTGTTGCGTACCGACGACACGTCTTCGAACTCTTCTACAGTCCGAAGTTTACGCCTTCTACCACCGCGATGACATGCCAAAACGGAGTTGACATTGATTCACAGTTCAAATATCGTAATTTAGTCAGCTAATCGCGTATGATATATTCACAGAAACTGCATAAACTGGTCAAAGAAAACGCCTATACATCACCAAAGGCAATTTTCTAGTTCTCGGCACGTTTATTAGGACTCCGCCTATATTTTCGTAATCGCACCTGTTGCGTAAAGTGACAATTCGACCATCGATTTTGACGACGTCCTCCGTGTGTTGCACAGTAGGGTCAGAGCAGGGACGGTGACCCTCACGGGAACTAGTTTAAAGTAATAGTAGACTTCGCAGTATCTACAGCACTTCCTCCTCCTCCTACCCCACGTGGGCCCGGTGACAAGAAATAGTCAAGAAGACCGGAGAAGAGAGAGGTCTCAGGTGGCTGGCCCGGCATAGACTCGTATCTAGGCGCACAATCACACCCTCTGGTCTACAGCACAAATTGACCAGGATTTTATATCATAACACAAATACGAAGGGGAGGGAAGCGGCACGCATATCAATTAGCGGAGAGTGAACCAGCAGCTCGGCATGGCATCACATCCTCAAGGTTGGCCTTACTTGCGAGTGTGCGTTCCTCATTACCCCTGTCGGACCCCAATCTAGCTCCTGTGTTGGTCCAGCACATCTACTGCGTGGCATGTTTTAGGAGCAAGTTGTGTATATTACTGAACAAAAGGCACCCAAATTATTGCACCACTCACCCGGACCATCAATATTGCATGATCATATGAAAGCTAATATCGCAATGTGGAAAATCATATGCAATGGTTAATAAGAAAATACTTTGTACAGTATAAATTTCATCATGTTGCTGACGCCAGCGCCGTTCCTCCGGGTTGTTATAGGATCTTCTGAATGTGAAAAGAACGTTACAATAAAGCAGGCAGCAAACCTTTAACCCAGTTCTCGCGCGTCTGCTTGTCTCTATATTCTCCGTATCGCGTAGCATTAACCCATGAGACTTTCTGAGGATGTTTAATCAGATGGCACTCATTAATAATTATAATCCCATAGCCGTCGATGCGCTGTCAACTTTTAGACTTGTCAAGATATCACTTGCAGCGATGGCTGTGGATGTTGTACTAAATATGAGTGTATATGAGAAAAAAGATCAGTGATCTCGGTAATGAATGCAGGTATATATTACGATGATTTCCGCCATAAAGACAGTTATAAAGTATATTCGCGGAGGACGCAGATATTGGCGATGATAAAGTCTATGCAGCTGGATTACGCACCTATACATATATGTATATGAAAAATAGAAGACGCTCTTCAGAAAAGTCGAGTTGTACTCGTGAATTTTTGAGCTGGTGACACCAACCCGTGGCATGGCACTGGGATCGAACTGAGATCGTCGCCATGGCTAACACAAAACGGGCGAGAGAATTTCTCGAGGTTTGGTACTCCAATGCTGGTAGTATCAACCGCCCTGTTGACCTGGATGCCCATTACGAGGGCCTAAGCTCACAACTTACTGCCCCCTGCCCCAATGCCACATCAACGACCGCTAATCCAACCACCCGGAGTCCAAATGATCCACCATCCACCCTTCCCCTCCAGCACAGGCATCCGTAATGGTTTCGCCTTCCCCTCCCCCCCTCGCTCAGAGACTTACCATAACTCTGTGACCATTCCTGTCATAGGCCAATAGTTTGTCTGCCCTGTCGAGCTAAGTAGTCTAGTGTGACACACTAACTTTCTCCCTTGTTTCCATTTCGTCTGACGACGGGTTGGTGTCACTAGCTCGAAAGATTCACGAGTGCAACTCGATTTTTCCGAAGAACATCTTCCTTTTCTCATATGTATATACATATGAGAGAAGATTCGAGGCCCTGATAGATTATCCCGTTCATCATCCCCAAAAGAAGACGAAGAAGAAAAAGAGACGATGCCATGGACCACACTGTATTGGTGCTGACGTTTCGGAAACTTCCTCGTTTCCATCATCAGAGAAGTGGTAGGGTGTTTGTTCCTGCTAGCTCAGAGTTGTTCTGTCTCGTCGCCCCATGCAACAGGAGAAGCAGAGTTTCGCCTTTGGGGAGGCAAGCGTCATCGGCCGAGCCAGCGACAAGATGGCCAGAGTGGTTCTCGAAAGTTGGTCCTCTGTTGACACAATCAACAGAGCCATTGATCTTCATCCGGCCTGCCAGGCGCTTCGTACGAGGCTCCAGTCAGTTCGGACGGGGCCGACAGCACTGGTGAACAGATCGCGGCTCTTTCAACACTTGCCACCTTTCCAGCAGGGGGAGAGATCCAGCCGGGTGTCAGACGACCGACGCGAGACATCGACCCACCGACGCTCCCAAACAGCCGACCC